GCTCAAGTGGTAGAGTGCTAGCCTTGGAGCTGAGGAACAGTGCCCAGGCCCAGAGTTCAGCCCCACAACCAACCAAAAAAAAAGTCACAACCCAAGAAAAAGCAAAAGAAAACCCACATCCGAAGTGTAGAAATGAAGGGAACGCTTAATTAGAAGCTCCTAACTGTGCAGGACTACTTGCCATTTCACTTGTTACTTATTTTACCTGAACTGCCATTAGTACATTATTGACCCATGACAGGTAGTTTGCTTACTGAAAAGATGGAAAAGACATTGTTCAATGCCTAAAATGAGTTAACTCATTTAATTCTGACATTACCATTCCTAATCCAGAAATGTATGGTCACAATAGCAGTACCAATTTCTAAATCCAATGTGCTAAGTTGTCACAGCTTTCTTTCCGGGGCTATTATTTGTAAAATTCATTCAAGTCACATCACTATTCACTTCATAAATTTCTTTTCTTTTTTGTGGTACTAGGGCTTGAATTCAGACCCTCCCACTGCTAGGTGGGCCTCTACCTGTAAAGTCACAACTCCAGACCTGTTAATTAGTGATTTTTTTTTATTTTTTATTTTTTTGCCTAGGCTAGATTCTAGCTATGATCCTCCAGATCTCCTGCTCCTGGTAGCTAGGATTACAAGGTGTGAGCCATGAAATCCAAGTGCAAGTTTCCACCTTAAAGATCCCACCTTCTTCATATACATACACACATACACACACCCACACACACACACGTGTGTATGTATATATATAATATATATGTCTTGTTTTGTGAACTCTGGGCCTCCTCAGCTCTTCAGCTCAAGGCTAGCGCTCTACCACTTGAGCCACAGTACCACTTCTGGCTTTTTCTGCTTATGTAGTGCTGAGGAATCAAACCCAGGGCCTCATGCATGCAAGGCAAGCACTCTACCACTGAACCACCTTCCCAGCCCCGACCTCCAATTTTAAAAGTCTAATTCCTCAGATTTTTATCAAAAGTTGTTTATATTTGGGGCTGGGAAGGTGGCTCAGTGGTAGAGCACTTGCCTTGCATGCTCGAAGCCCTGAGTTCGATTCCTCAGCACCACATAAAAGTCAGAAGTGGTGCTGTGGCTCAAGTGGTAGAGTGCTAGCCTTGAGCTGAAGAGCTGAGGGACAGCATCCAGGCCCAGAGTTCAGGCCCCACGACCGGACCCAAAAAAAAAAAAAAAAGTTGTTTATATTTTACTTACCTTTTAACCACCTCTGTTAGCCATAGCACACCTACAAAGTAGTTAGCATTAGCTAAATAGCTAGTAATCAGCTTTGGGATCTGACAGAAATTAAGCTTAGAAAAGCTACAAAGTTAATTTCTGATTCAAATTATATTTCTGAAAACTTTGGACTTCTAAGATACATTCTATTTCCAATTCTTAGCAAAAGTAATTTTAAAAACTCAAAAGTTTTAGGGAGCTTTTTTTGGCAATATTGGGGGTTGGCCTCAAGGCTTCTCACTTACTAGGCAGGAGCTCTACCATTTGAACCACTCTGCCAGCCCTTTGTGTTATTTTTTGAGATAAGGTCTCATTTTATGGCCAGGCTGACCTGAATTGCAATCCTATTTGTGTTTCCCAGAACTGCTGGAATGACACAATTGTGTGCTACTGCATCCGGTGACTGGCCAAGTGCATTTACAAACTTTTTTTGTTGGCTTGGGCTAGTCTTGAACACCATTCCATGATATCTGCTTCCTAAGTAGCTAATGTTACAATCTTGAGGCAAGCCGCCTAGCTAGAATTTGAGCTGGGCACAAGTGGCTCACACCTGTAATCCTAGCTACTCAGGAAGCTGAGATCCGAGGATCATGGTTCAAAGCCAGCCTGGGCAAGGAAAGTCTGTGAGACTCACATCTCCAATTAACCACCAGGAAACCGGAAGTGGTACTGTGACTCAAGAGGTAGAGTGCTCACCTTGAGCTGAAGAGCTAAGGGACAGCACCCAGGCCAAGTTCAAAGCCCATGACCGACAAAAAAAAAAAAAAAAAAAGATTTCTCTGCTCCTATGCCTGATAGTCCACTGGCCTATTTCATACATGCAGAAATTTCATTAAATACAGAACACTATTTAAAATAGTTCATAAAATAAGCCAAGCTTACCACCAATTATTTAATCTTAAAAACATGATACAAGCTTGGATGCAGGTGGCTCATGCCTGTAATCCTAGCTATTCAGGAGGCTAAGATCTAAGGAAAACTCATTAGAATAAGCCTATATTAGTAAACAACACTTCCACAGCATATAAAAAGAATGAGGTCTGGATTTGTATCTAAGTGATAGAGCATCCAGCACACTGGATTCTATCCTAGCAAAACAAAAGAAGTATACAATAAAAAAGACCAAATATTACTAAATTTTGTGACTGGGCTGAGTTTCTTCCTTTCTGATTTATCTCTCTTTATAATGAACTTAGAACTTCTGTAATAAGAAAAATAGAAGCCAAGCACTGGTGCCCCAGGCCTGTAATACTAGCTACTCAAGAAGCTGAGATGTGAAGATAGAGCCCTGGCAGAAAAGTCCATGAGACTCTTATCTCAAATTAATCACCACAAAAAAGGCCAGAAGTGGAGCTGTGGCTCAACTGGTAGAGTGCTAACCTTGAGCACAAAAAAGCTGAAGAACAGAGCCTGGCATTTGTGGCTCATGCTTTTTTTTTTTTTTTTTTTGGTCGTGGGGCCTGAACTCTGGGCCTGGGCTCTGTCCCTCAGCTATTCAGCTTGAGCCACAGCACCACTTGAGCCACAGTACCACTTCCAGCTTTTTCTGCTTATGTGGCGCTGAGAAATCGAACCCAGGGCCTCATGCATGCAAGGCAAGCACTCTACCACTGAGCCTCATTCCCAGCTCTGTGGCTCATGCTTATAATCCTAAATATTGATGAGGCTGAGATGAGGATCTAATTTCAAAGCCAGTCCAGGTGGGAAGGTCCTTAAGACTTTTTTTTTGGTGGGGGAGTGGAGGGCTTGAACTCTAGGCCTGGGCTATCATAGTCCCTGAGCTCTTCAGCTGAAGGCTAGCCCTCCACCATTTGAGCCACAGCACCACTTCCAGTTTTCTGGTGGTTTATTAGCGATAAGAGTTTCTCAGCTTTTCCTGCCCAGGCTGGCTTTGAACCATGATCCTCAGATCTCAGCCTCCTGAGTAGCTGGGATAACAGGCACAGGCGCTGGCTAGCCCCTCCAGACTTTTATCTCCAATTAATCACCAGAAAACCAGAAGTGGTGTTATGACTCAAAGTAGTAGAGTAATAGCCTTGAGCAAAAGAACTCAGGGATAGCACCAGGCTGTCCAGAGTTCAAGCCCCATGAACGACAAAAAATAAAATAAAATAGACCTCACTTTACCTCTTGAGGGACTCAATTCCTTCAGAAAAGTGAAAACATTAGAAAAGACAGCCCATCAGCAACAGCCCTATTGCTAATGGATTTTAAGTCTCTACTACCTTAGAAGAAAAACAGATTTAACATGAGTGACTAGAGAAGTTGAGGCCAAAGACCATTCTAATGGAAACAGGTGGTGGACAGTCCTGAGGAAGGAACAGCTGAAAGCTCCAGCTTTGCTTTACCAACAATATGGCTTCAATCTTGGCTAAGTCATCATCAGAAATCATACACTGGGTAGGCAAAGCTAGGATATAAAACCTAGCCTTGGGAGAACAACCACTATAGCAGTCATTCAAACATGCTAGAGGCTCGTTAATGCTAAAACATAAGAGAGCCCTGAATGATTCCACAGGAAGACATCTTCACTCTCACTGAAGATTTATGGAGGAAACTTAAGCTTGCTGCACCTGTGGCAAAGGTGAAAGAATGCAATTAAAGCCCCTCCCGATTCAGACAGTGAACAGACCATTTAAAGGTATAATTCCTGTGAAAAGATTCACTGGGTGTTTGCTATCCCAACACGGCAGACATTACAAAGTGCCCCACGCTCTTTAAAAAACGGTTAAAGCAACCTTTGTAACAAACATTAACACTCTTTACTCTCAGCAGACTAGATACGACAGCGAAGCGGACCAGATAAGACAGAGATTCCATTTTTGGCGAAAACAGACTGTGACCAAAAAAATTTAAAAATAAAGTAAATCTCACCTCAACTATGTATGGGAATGAGCCAAAACCAATGAGAAACTCCTAAGAGCCATGTATGCCATGCATTGGTCTTAGAAAATTAAAACAATTCAGCTGCCCGGGAGGACTACGACCCAAGAACACGAACTGACTTCAAATCTTATAAACCAGCTCCTTGGCCCTTGAATGCGCTCTCCGTGCTCCCGGGTGTGAGATCCCAGCCCAGACACCAGGCCGCGACTAGGTGAGCACCTGATTGGGGGAGGGGAGAAAGAGGGCAGGGCGAGCCCAGGCGCTAGCGGATCTGGAGCAATAACGGGGGGCGGGGGGGAGAGTTCGGCTCTCCAGGTTCCAAAGAAGCCCAGTGACCCCGCCACACACCTCGGGGGCGAGGGATCCCGGGGCACCCTCCCCCCCCCAAAACACGTGGGACGAAAAGGTCGGGTGAGCCGACAGCCTGCGTCCCCTACGATGGTCGGAAAGAGGTCAGGGCTGCCCCCCACCCCCCCGGGGCAGAGCCACGCAGCAATCCGCTCCCCGGAGGCTGAAGGCCAAGGGCGCCGAGACCCGGGCTCGGGCCACGAGGAGGGCGGGTCTCCCTGGGCGCCGGGCGGGGTGAGGGGGGCACGCGCCCCGCGAGCGCGAAGACACCCGGGGTGCCAAGGGCCCCGACACGCGGGGGGCTTGCCTCCAGGAACCCGGGAACCCAGAAGCGACCGCGCCCGCCAGGGGGGCCCGGTGACCCGCGGGCGGCCGAAGCGGACCCGCCCCGCGGCGCCTCCCTCCAGCCTCTTCTCCTTCCTGCCTGCCTGCCTTCCGTCCGTCCGTCCGTCCCTCCCTCCGGCCAGCGGGCCGGCCGGCCGTCCCCCCCCCCCGAGCGGCCCGTTATCCCACGGCCGCCGCACTCACCAGCGGCTGCACCTGAGCCTGCCGCCGCCTCAGCTGCTGCCTGCGCTTCCGCAGCCGCCGCCGCTACCGCTGCCGCCGCCGCTGCCGCCGCCGCTACCGCCGCCGCCGCCGCTTCCGCCGCCGCCGCCGCCGCCGCCTCGCTGCTGAGGCGAAGTCCCGAGGGAGCCTCCGCGTCCCGCCGCCGCCGCCGCCGCCGCCGCCGCCGCCGCCAGAGCAGAACACTCCAAAATGGCGGCACTTCCGGCACCTACCACTGGCGGGGAGGGCGGGGGAGAAGGAGGAGGAGAAGGGAGGAGGCAGGAGGAGGAGAGCAGCCGCGAGGAACGTACCACCGCGGCGCCGCCCTTCTTACCCAGCCGAGCCCAGGCCCGGGCCGAGCGCGGCGCGAGGGGCGGGGGGCGGGGCGGGGGAGGAGCGCCGGGGTCGCAGCGCCCCCTGCACTTAGGGAGTGGAATTGCAGCCGCGCCAAAACCCTGGGGACCGCGGGCGGCGCCCTCAGCGCCGGGAGCCGCAGGGGCGCAGCTCTTTGTCTCTGAGCTCTTCCTGACCTGGGAATCTTGAAGTTCTTGGTTTGGGGGAATCGCACTCACATGGGGTTCTGGATGACCCTGGTGGGCAAATACCCCTTGCTGGGCACTGAGGGTGCACCGGATTAAAAGAAAACATGGGATGAATGAGTGAGGATGGTGGTTGGCCAGCCTTGGGCCTACTGCACACTCTCTTTATTGCACCAGCATCAGCATCCAGGCTGCCTTCCCTCTTGGCCGTGTTGTGGACGCTTGTTGCAAGCTCTCAGGACTGGGGGAGTGCCTTCTGGCTGCACGCACAACCTGCCACACTAGGAAGGTCTTTCAGGATTCTAAGAGACTCGTCGAACCTACTTTTCCTAGAAAAAAAGATTTGCTTAAAAAGGTTAAGTCGTTAAAGATGCTCTTAGGGGTTAGAAAACTCCTGGACCACTGGGTAGCAGTGGCTCACGCCTGTAATCCTAGCTACTCAGGAGGTTGAGACCTGAGGATCGTGGTTCAAAGCCAGCCCGGGGGGCTGGGAAGGTGGCTCAGTGGTAGAGTGCTTGCCTTGCATGCATGAGGCCCTGGGTTTGATTCCTCAGCACTACATAAGCAAAAAGAAAAAAGCCGGAAGTGGCGCTGTGGCTCAAGTGGTAAAGCACTAGCCTTGAGCCAAAGAGCTAGGACAGCGCCCAGGCCCACAATTCAGGCCCACGGGGCTGGGAAGGTGGCTCAGTGGTAAAGCACTTGCCTTGCATGCATGAGGCCCTGGGTTCGATTCCTCAGCACCACATAAGCAAAAAAGAAAAAAGCCGGAAGTGGCACTGTGGCTCAAGTGGTAGAGCGCTAGCCTTGAGCTGAAGAGCTGAGGGACAGCGCCCAGGCCCAGAGTTCAGGCCCCATGATCGGACCCAAAAAAAAAAAAAATTCAGGCCCACGACCGGACCCCCCCCCCAAAAAAAAAAGCCAGCCCGGGCTAGGAAAGTCCGTGAAACTCTTATCGCCAATAAACCAACAGAAAACCAGAAGTGGCGCTGTGGCTCAAGTGGTAAAGCACTAGCCTTGAGCCAAAGAGCTAGGACAGCGCCCAGGCCCACAATTCAGGCCCACGGGGCTGGGAAGGTGGCTCAGTGGTAGAGTGCTTGCCTTGCATGCATGAGGCCCTGGGTTCAATTCCTCAGCACCACATAAGCAGGAAGAGCCCAAAGTGGAACTGTGGCTCAAGTGGTAGAGCACTAGCCCTGAGCTAAAGAGCTGAGGGACAGCACCCAGGCCCAGAGTTCAGGCCCCATGACTGACAAAGAGGAGGAGGTGGAGGAAGAGGAGGAGGAAAAGAAAGAAAAGAATCCCTGAATCTAGATGGAATACACAGTACAGTTTGTTGTTCATTTCCCAGGTTCTAGACCTTGTGAAACAATAAAATGGAGGGTAAGAAAGAAAACTTAAGACAAGTACCATGGCTCACACCTGTAATCCTACCATAGCTCACACCTGTAATCCTAGCTACTCAGGAGGCTAAGATCTGAAAATCACAGTTCTAGGACCGCTTAGGTGGGAAAGTTTTATCTGCCATTGTGGCTTAAGTAGAGCACTAGTCTTTTTTTTTTTTTTTTTTTTTTTTTGGTCTGATCGTGGGGCCTGAACTCTGGGCCTGGGCGCTGTCCCTCAGCCCTTCAGCTCAAGACTAGCACTCTACCACTTGAGCCACAGCACCACTTCCAGCTTTTTTTTTCTGCTTATGTGGTGCTGAGGAATCGAACACCAGGGCCTCATACATGCAAGGCAAGCACTCTACCACTGAGCCACCTTCCCAGCCCATAGAGCACTAGTCTTGAGTGAGAAGCTATGGGCTAACTCCCAGACCCTGAATTCAAGCCCCAGTACAGTACCAAAAAAAAAATTAGTTTGGGACTTTTTGGCCAAATCAACATACAAATAACTCATGGTTTGGCAAGTGATTTCTCTGTAACATCATTTGGTTTCCCAGAGCAAATAATTTGGATACTACAAATACTGATTATACCCTAGCTGACCACAAAACAAAAGACAGTGGCCAAGTGGGCTACCAAGCACACGTCTGGAGGGTTCTCACACATGCTGGAAGAATCTCCTTTCCTCTGTGGAGAAATGAAAAGATACCCACAGATATTCTGATGCCATGTAGAACAATTAGTCCTTACATTGTACCTTGTATTTTTTTTTTTTTTTTTGGCCAGGGCATTGTCCCTGAGCTTCTTTTGCTCAAGCCTATAGCACTCTGCCACTTGCGCTACAGCACCACTTCCAGCTTTTTGTGTTTCTGTGGTACTGAGAAATCAAACCCAGGGCTTCATGCATACTAGGCAAGCACTCTACCACTAAGCCACATTCCAAGCCTAAATTGTACCTTGTCCTATTTCCTAATTGTACTGTGTGATTTTATATATATAACTGTGATTTTATATATCACTGACAATATTCTATATTTATAAATTCCTAGAATGCCATCACAAACATTACCACAATTAATTTTGCATATATATTCTAGCTGCCTTCTATAGAAATATTCCAAGTAAAGGACCTTGAAGTTCCATGAAATCATCCAAAAATACAAAAATACAGATGGCTCGCTTCCTTCACATTTTTTTTGGGGGGTCTGGTTGTGGGGCTTGAACGCTGGGCCTGGGCGCTGTCCCTCAGCTCTTAAGCTCAAGGCTAGTACTCTACCACTTGAGCCACAGCACCACTTCTGGCTTTTTCTGCTTATGTGATGCTGAGGAATAGAACCCAGGGACTCATGCATGCAAGGCAAGCACTCTACCACTGAGCCACCTTCCCAGCCCCACCTTCAGGTTTTTTTTTTTTTGAGGGGGTGGGGCAATCTTGGTACTTGAACTTGGGGCCTGGGCACTGTCCCCGAGCTATTTTTGCTGAAAGCACTCTACCACTAAACCACATTCCCAGCCCTCTTTCAGTTCTTAAGAGTTGGGGGGGAGGGTTTGGGGGTCCTGGGGCTTGAACTCAGTACCTGGGTACTCTCTAAGATATTTTTTCTTTTGGTCGATCATGGGCTTGAACTCTGGGCTTGGGCACTATCCCTGTGCTCTTCAGCTCAAGGCGAGCGCTCTACCGCTTGAGCCAGAGCGCCACTTCTGGTTTTCTAGTGGTTTATTGGCGATAGGAGTCTCACAGACTTTCCTTGCCCGGGCTGGCTTTGAACCTCGATTCTCAGATCTCAGCCTCCTGAGTAGTTAGGATTATAGGCGTGAGCCACTGACACCTGACTATCTCAGATTTTTTTGTTCATCTCCAATCTCTGCCTTCTTAGTAACTAGGATTGCAGAAGTGAGCCACCAGCACCTGGCTTAAATGTCACCTTCTTAGTCAAGACTTCTCAGACCACTCTATTTAAAATCACATTTATGGAGCTGGGAAGGTGGCTCAGCGGTAGAGTGCATGCCTTGCAAGCATGAGGCCCTGGTTTCGATTCCTCAGCACCACATAAACAGAAAAAGCCAGAAGTGGCACTGTTGCTCCAGTGGTAGAGTGCTAGCCTTGAGCTGAAGAGCTGAGGGACAGCGCCCAGGCCCAGAGTTCAGGCCCTGTGACTGGCAAAAAAAAATCACATTTATGGGCTTGGAATGTGGTTGAGCGATAGAGTGCTTGCCTAGCAAGCACGAAGCCCTGGCTTTGATTCCTGAGTACCACATAAACAGAAAAGGCCAGAAGTAGCACTGTAGCTCAAGTGGTAGAGTGCTAGCCTTGAGCAAAAGAAGCTCTTGGACAGTGCTCAGGCCCTCATTTCAACCCCCAAGACTGGCAAAAAATAAATAAAATAAAATCAAACTTATGCCTGGCAAAGTAACTCACACCTGTAGTCCCAGGTACTCAAGAGGCAGAGATTAGGAGGATGGATGTTCAAGGTCAGCCCTGAGAAAAACTAATCAAAATCCCACCTCAACAAAATAAGATGGAAATGGTGATTTGCTTCAGTAATCCCAACTATTTGAGGAAGCAAAGAAAGAAGGATGGAAATCCTCAAAGCTTGCTCTAGGGGAAAAAGGCAAAAAAAGAAAAGCAAAACCCTATCTAGAAAATAACCTCAAGCAAAAAGGGCTAGAAATGTGGCTCCAATGTTAATGGACTTGACTAGTAAGCTCAAGGCCCGAACCTCAGTACCACCAAGAAAATTAAAAGTAAAAAATCATACACACAAATATACACACTTGCTGGAAAATGGTGGCTCATGCCTGTAATCCTAGATACTCAGGAGACTGAGATTTGAGGATCCTGGTTTTAAGGCAGCTCGGGCAAGAAAGTCCATGAGACTTTTATCTCCAATTAACCACCAGTTAATTGGCTCAATGTGGTAGAGTACTTACCTTAAGCAAAAGAGCCCAGGAATAGAGCTCAGGCTGAGTTCAAGTCCCATGATGACAACAACAATTATATATATATATATATATATATATATATATATATATACACACATATTTCAAATATCCTTTCTTGCTGGTGTGTGTGTGTGGGGTGTGTGTGTGTGTGTGTGTGTGTGTGTGTCAGTACTGGGGCTTAAACTCAGGGCCAGCTTGGGTGCTTTGTCTGTGTGTCTGAGCTTTTGTGCTCAAATCTAGCATTCTACAACTTGAGCCACAGCTCCAATTCCAGCTTTTTAGAGGTTAACTGGAAATAACCATGTCTCATAGACTTTCCAAGGCTGCCTTCCAACCACTATCCTCAGATCACAGCCTCCTGAATAGCTAGGATTGCAAACATGAGCCACTGGCACCCAGTTCCTTTCTCTCAAAACACTAGTCACCATCTAACATTTTTTTTTTTTTTTCTTTTTTTCCTCGGTCATGGGGCTTGAACTCTGGGCTTGAGCACTGTCCCTCATCTTTTCAGTTTAAGGTGGGTGCTCTACCACTTGAGCTACAGTGCCACTTCTGGTTTATTAGAGATTAGAGTTTCACCAACTTCCTGCCGGGACTGGCTTTGAACAGCGATCCTCAGGTCTCAGCCTCCTGAGTAACTAGGATTATAGGCGTAAGCCACCCAACGCCCAGCTACCATCTAACATTTTTTACCTACAGGTTTTACTTGATGTTTTTGTAGTCTCCTCCCACCAGAAGGTAAATTCTATAAGGACTGAGGTTTCAGCAGTTTTATTTACTATTATATCCTCAGGGCCTTGAGATAATACCTAATCCAAAGTAGGTGCTCAATAAAGATTATTGAATTAATGAATAGTAAGCATAGAGGTGTGTTACATATAAAAATATGAATCACCTAGTATTTAGAAAGACTTCAAACATAAGAACAAGGACCACATCACTGTTGTTTTTTTATTGGTTTGCTTTCTGTGTATATGCCCATACTGGGGCTTGAATTCAGGGCCCTGTGCTTTCACTTGGCTTTTTCACTCAAGGCTGACATTCTACTCCTTTGGCCTCAGCTCCACTTTGGAGTTTTGATGTTTAATTGGAGATAAGAACCTATCTGATTTGTCTGCTCAGTCTGGCTTTGAATTAAAATCTTCAGAATTCAGCCTCCCAAGTAGCTAAGATGACAAACAGCAGCCGCTGGTTCCTGGCACACCCAACCTACTTTATTTTTATTTTATTTATTTTTGTTGGTTGTGGGGCCTGAACTCTGGGCCAGGGCACTGTCCCTCAGCTCTTCAGCTCAAGGCCAGCACTTGAGCCACAGCACCACTTCCAGCTTTTTCTGCTTATGTGGTACTGAGGAATTAAACCCAGGGCCTCATGCATGCAAGGCAAGCACTCTACCACTTAGCCACCTTCCCAGCCCCCCAACCTTCTTATTTTCTTATTTTTCCAGTACTTTTCTCTGTGTGGCCTTGCACATACTTCTTCAAGGTCAACCAGAATCCTTTTCCTGCTTTATCTGCTCCTTGAATGAGGGCTTGCCTTTGCAGGAGAGCAAGTCCTTGCAGGGTGTAGTATCAACTCTTGTATTTAGTTACCAAGAAAGGCCACCGCCTAGTAGGCCAAAGATGGGGACAGAAGGACATGATGAAGAGCAATGTCAGTAACTTCAAGAGATTTCAGTAGAACAAACAAAATACTGGACTGTTGAATAGAGAATTAAGATTAGCAGAAGCCTGTAAACTGGGCACTCATGGCTCACACCTGTAATCCAACCTACTCAGGAGGCTCAGATCTAAAGATTAAGATTCAAAGCTAGTCCAAGAAGGAAAATCTGTGAGATTCTTTATCTCCAATTAACTAGCAAAAAAAAAAAAAGTCTGACGCAGAGCTGTGGCTCAGTGCATGATATACAAGCCCTCTCCACTAAGCCACATTCCCAGCCCAATATTTTTTTTTGCACTTATTCAGGCACCCAGCTCCTGTAATCTTAGTAACATTAAAAATAATTGGGAGCCGGGTGTTGATGACTCACGCCTGTAATCCTAGCTACTCAGGAGGCTGAGATCTGAGAACCAGGGTTCAAAGCCAGCCTGGGCAAGAAAGTTTTTGTGAGACTCTTGTCTTCAACAAGCCACCAGAAGGGCTGGGAAGGTGGCTCAGTAGTGGGGACAGGACAAGGCCCAGGCTCCCCGCGGGGGTGCGGGGGGTTTAAACCCCCTGTTTAACCGCTCTCCCCTGGGTGGGGCGTCCGGAGTCGCCCCGGTCCCTCCTCTGGGCCCGGGGTCGAAGGTAGCGCTGCCCCCCCCCGGTAGCCAGGGCTCCCGCGTGTCTGGCTCTCCAGGGGTCACGGCCCAGCCCCTGGGCGGGGCGAGGGGCGTCACCGGCCACCGCCTAGGATTCGGTGCCCCAAGCCCGGGCTCCCCGGCCTGGGCCCCGGACGCCCTCGGCTCGCCGGCCGAGTCCCAGGTCCCGCCCCCGAGGCCCGAAGCCCCTCCTCCTGAGCCATGGTGTCCGCCCCGGGGGCCCCGGGGCCTGGCCGGGACGCCGGAGACCAGGCGCCGGCGAAACCCGCGCCCACCGCGTCGCCATCGCCGGAGTCGTCGGGGTCGCGGCCGAGAATCGCGAGGCCCGGGACCCGCAGGTCGTCCCTGCCACGCCCGGCTCGATCGGGCGGGATGGCGGCCACCGCGTGGCTCCAGGCCGGTCTGGCCCGGGTGCTCTTCTACCCGACGCTGCTCTACACGGTGTTCCGCGGGAACGTGCGGGGCCCGGCGCACCGCGAGTGGTACCACCGCATCGATGCCACCGTGCTGCTGGGCGCGCTGCCGCTGCGGGGCCTGACGCGCCGGGTGAGCTCGGAGACCCGGCCCCGCAGGAAGCGGGGCGAGGAGTAGGGGAGGTAGGGGGGAGGGGAAGGAGGAGGGGATCCCCGACACCCCGGGGTCTCCGCGGGGGGGCCCCGGCTCAGCTCTTCCTCTTCGCCCGGGCAGCTGGTACAGGACGAGAACGTGGGCGGGGTGATCACCATGAACGAGAAGTATGAGACCAGGTTCCTGTGCAACTCCTCCAAGGTGAGCACCCCACCTGCCCATCGAGCTCCCCCTGGTCTTGGGGAGCTGGAGAAGTTTAGGAGAACTGCAGAGGGACCGGTGTCTCAGGCTTGTTTGCCTTCTCTGGTGTTAGGGTCTCGTCGTCAATGCTTAGATGTCTGCAGATGGAAATGAAAGGCCTTTTAAATTTTCATAAGCCAGATCAGGTGCCCTGGCCTCTGTCTGTAGGTCCCAACGATTTTTAAGGCTGAGGTTGGGCCTAGGGAACACAGGGGGACTGGGAAAAGGGTTGGGGGGAGGTGGGTCGTTGATAAAGTTTGTTTACTCTTTTCTGTGCAAAGATCAGGAACTAAAATTGAAAGGCAACTTCCGTGTGCTTTGCTTGCATTCATTCAACATTGAACACCAAGACTAGTTCAGGCCCTGTATTAGACATTCAAGAGCAAAGCCCTGCCAATTCTAAGTGGGAAAGCACCACAGACAACACACTGTAAATACATCACTAATCTATTCACTGAAAGACTGGGTACCTGTGGCTCTCTCCTGTAATCATAGCTGCTCAGGAGGCTGAGATCTGAGGATCTCAGTTAAAAGCCAGACAAGGCAACAAACTCTGTGAGACGCTATTGAACCACCCAAAAGCTGTAAGTAGAATTGTGGCTCAAATGTTAGAGTGCCAGCCTTGAGCAGAAAACTCTCAAGAACAGTGTCCAGGCCTTGTGTTCAAGCCATAGTAGGGGTGTGTGTGGTGGTGGGGGTGGGGGAGGAGGAGAGTAGCTAACATTTCCTTGGATTTTTCTACACATTTTGTCATAAGACCTCAAAGATCAGTAGTCAAAATGATAAATGTATGCTAGTGTGGTGAGCAAGGTGGGGATCCAGAGATTCTGGGCATATGCAGCAAATGCTTAATGGCTGCATGGGAGGCAGTGACATTTGTAAGATGGAGCAGCATCATCCGCTAGCCTAGAGAAATCAAATCTCCAAGGCAATTGCTTCACACATTTGAATATGGCTAAGAATCATCTGTCAGCCTTGCTAAAATAGCACAGTCCTACACACAGCCCCCAGAGATTCTGACTCAGGAACTTCAGGGCAGGGCTCAGGAATTTGAGAATTGAACAACTCTTCAGGTGTTTCTGGTAAACTGCAGGCTGCAAAGCTCTGCTTCCAGTTTATTAATTTTATGATGGGGATTAAATACACCATTCAGAGTCATAAAGTCTCTAGTCACAATTAAAAAGAATAGCAAGTCCAGTGCTAATGGCTTACACCTCAATCCTAGCTGAGGCTGAGATCTGAGGATCATGGTTCAAAGACAGCCCAGGCAGGAGAAACTGTGAGACTCATCTCCAACTAACCATCAGAACTAACCAAAAGTGGCACTGTAGCTCAAAGTGGGAGAGAGCTAGCCTTGAGCAAAAGAGCTCAGAGACAAGCACCCAGGCCCAGAGTTCAAGCCCTGTGACTGACCAAAAAAAAAAAAAA